GAAGTTTTTGGAGCAGCAGGACTTGTACTGCAGCTCCCGGTGTGGAGCAGCAGGTGATTTGTGCAGCAAAAGGACAAGTGGGACCTGTCCAGAGCCACCCTGTGTGACAGCCACCTGTGGTCGCGGTGAGTGTCTGTTCTCTCTTCTCCTGGGTGGTTTACAGTGGCCCTTGGCAGGGACCTACGCTGTGGCCATGCATGGTGGGGGGTGGTCTCCTGGGCTGGCACACTGCTGTGCACCTGGATGTGTGTGGTGGGTGCTGCTGTGGTCCTGTGTGGCTGGAAGGTGCTGGGGCTGCAACTGGTGCTTTTGTCTGCTTGTCCTGTGGCAAAGGGAAGGGCACGAGCAGGATGGGCTGTGATGAAAAAGCTCTGTGGGCTCATGTGCTGCTGGTACCAGGGTGAGAGCAGTGGGTGCTGCAGAGCACAAGGGATGTGGTGAGGACACAGCAATGGTCTCCCCAAACCCTCCCCTGCTGTGGGGCCACCAGCCATGGTCGCTCAGAGAGCACATCTCTGCCTTTCTTCACATTTAGAAGCTATTTTTGCACCTGGTTTTGCCTCACCAGCATGGTCAGCCCTGGACCTCCTCCCAAAGGCCCAGGGCACGGCTGCACTGAGGCCAGGCAGCTCCTGTCCATAACCCAGCCTGGCACTGGTGCGGTTTTGCCACGAGGTTTTAATTCATGTGAGGTGGAGAGTGACACTAGAGGAGAAGCAGTATCAGTAAATACTTGGGAAATTCCTCCAACCATTCCAGCCTTGGCTGTTGCTGGGATGCTGAGGCTGAGACAACAGCAAAAAAAAGCCGAGTTGATAAATGTCAAAAGAAATCCAGTAATCAGCTGAAAGCAATTTACCGAGCCATGTAACCGCCCTGGGCTCGCCATTTTCCTTTCTTCATTTATCATGGTAAGCACTTTGGCCAAAATACACAAAGCAGAGAAATTGTTGACATGTGGGGCCCTAGCAGAGCAAATCCTTCATCCTCCTCCCCCTCCCCACTGCGAGCAAACTAACTTTTTGGGAGTTGTTTATTTAAGGACTGCAGAGCACTTGGTGCTCTTTGAACCCAAATGCCTTGGGAGCGGGGCTGCGGTGCTGGTCACCACCTTCCCTCCTCCTCCTGCCATCGCCCGGGGCTGTGGGGAGGCTGTTTGCTGCTGTGGGGAAGTACCTGCTGGTATCGAGGAGTTGAGCTGCAGGACGTGCTCAGGACCCTGTTCTGCTTCTACCTCCTCCACCCCCTAAATGTGGTACTGGTGGCTCACACGGGTGTGCCGTAACCGGTCAGGGAGGGTAGATGCTGGTTTTGGAAAGCTCCTGTATTGGCTTTTGGTCTTCTTGGTCCTGGCTAAAATAGCTGTGCCAACAGCACTGGTTTCAGTTCTCTATCCATGAAGCCCAGGGAATCATGAAGCCCTTCTCTGCCCACCACACACCAGCTGGTGTCAAGCTTCCCCATGCCCTCCCAGTGGCCAGGCTGTAGGTAACTGTGCTGGCCACAGCAATGGGCCAACACTTATTTTAGGACATGTGAACTCCTCTACATCCCATTTTGACTTTATTTTAAGAAAAAATAAACACCAAGGTTGACAGCAGGACAGCGCAGGTTTCCCTTGCGCGTGGTCCTCGCTCCTGCGAGGTGCCAGGATGACACAGGCTGGGGGAGAACAGGGTGGTCGCTTCTCCTGTCCCTCAGCTTCTGTGTGGGAGCCCTTCCAGCAGCCTCCAGTCCTCCTTCCAGCTATTTTATTTTTAATCTTAATTCACTCAATTCAGTTGCCACCTGGATGAAGAACAGTGAGGAGAATTTTCCCTGTCCCTCCAGTACAATCCAAGATGGGGAACCGGAGCAGCCAAAGCACGGAGCTGCTCTGGGGTTCCAGCAGAGCCACCCCTGCCTGTCTCCCGAGGCTGCTGACTCCAGGCAGGGATGGGTGCTGGGGTGCGTGGCAGTCCGTTCTTCCTCGAGGAGGGAGTGTGTCTGTAGGGATGGAGCTTATCCCAGCAGCTCCTTGGTCTTTGCTGCCAGCAGCTTGTCCATCTCCGCTGCAGTGTCGTCTGCCATTTGCTGGATCTGTGGCAACACAGCACAAGTCTGAGTCACGTGCTAGGTGAGGCCAGAGTTTAAAGGGAAAGGAATGACTGGATGACATGCTGAAACAAAGCCTGAAGTCCCAATAAAACCCAAACTAGTGCTGGGGCAATAACTGGCTCTTCCTGCCTTCAGCTCTCAGCGATTCTGTGCCAGTGTTGCCTCTGTAGAGTGAGAACAGGGACTGCTCAGAGGCTCTGAAAAGAGATGCACAACACAAACTCTTGGTGGAACTTCACAAGTGACTTGGTCAGGTCCTTATTTAACAGAGCGACTTCAGGGGGAGACAGAGTTGGACACCAGCTGGTGTCAGCACGAGAGGAGAGGGCTTTTCTCGTTATTACCTCCTGCAACCTTTCACTACAAGAACAAACTAGACAACATGCCTCTGTGCATGCTAAGGATTCACACATCAAGTCACAGATCTGTTTATTTCTTGTAATTAGAAATAAATGGCAGCTGTTAAAGCCCTGCCCAGGGATGAGATCTCCTGGTAACAAGGTAAGGACACAGCAAGTGTGTAAACGGGACCAAAATGTGTGTGACTTATTTGAGCAAGTGCAGATAAAGGCTGGAGCACACCGGGGGGGTTATGCACTAATTTTACAGGCTTGATTAAGATGTGCTCACCCCCAAGGCCCAAGGTATATGATGATGACATTTCCTCAGGCTGAAAAATTTGGGTACAAGCAAAAATTAAGACTTGAGACACTACCCTTACGAATGCAGAAAACCATCTGTCTGCTCTGGGAGAACTGCTTCCCAACAGGATTCAGTTACAATAGCATGGCCATTTTTCCTGCTTGCACAAACGCTCTGTATATCAATGTTTATTTTTGTGAGCGCACAGAGAACTGTCCCGAAGCATTTGCAATGTATCTAACTTTAGCTGTTAATAAACAAATAGCTAAAAAGTAATGGCCTGCCTTCAGAGGCATCAATTCAGCAAAACACTTAGGCTTGTGCCTGAGTTTATGCCCAAGTAATTGACTTTAGTGACATCTGCTCTTAGGGAATTAGGCATGTGCTTAAGTATTTTCCTGAATTGGAGCCAAAAACTCCTAACGGAGATAATCTTGCTAGCCTTTTCATTAATAACAAACTGGAGCAACCCTCATTAACACCAGCTGGTTTGCAATGGCCAGGCACTGTGTAAATGGTGGTCAAGCTATGGATGTGGGTCATTTTGCTTCCCAAGTTCAGCTGGTTTGTGCAACAATCCCTCCTAGCATGAAAGCTTTTGGGGAAGACTTCCCCCCCTGGCCCCGTGTCAGCTTACAGTGCTTCAAACTATAAATTTGGCTTTGAGATTGAAGCCCCAAATCTCACAAAAAAAAGCGCAAATACAACAGCCATTGCTGACTCCAAAAATTCAGGCCAGGGCCACCCATTCCCCAGCCAGGTTCTCGGTGTTGGAGATGTGTCAGCAAGGGCTGGGACAAAAGCACCACTGAGCTGTGAAACGTCATGATATGGCAGAGGGACAAAAGGAAAAAAAATTACCTGCTTTTCTAGCAGCCAGATAGTATCTTCAGACACTTTGTTCTTGAACTTCTTTACTTGGTTCACACTTTTGCTTCGCACCTTTCTCAGGGCCTCTTTGGACTTGTTGGTGGACTGCTTGGCAAGCTTGGCCAGGCTCTCCCTGTGCTCTCTCGTTACCCTGGCAGTGGAGGGAAAGAAAAAACAGTGTCACGTGTAGCATAGCCAGATTTATTTTCCATGATGGACTTTGTGTAAATGCAGAGATCCTCTCTGCTGCGGTACCTCTCTGGTCTAGACAAGAGCTGCCACACAGCACCAAGCTGGGCTGGGTCAGGACAGAGCTCGCACTGCATGGAAGTTCTATGTCACAAGGGCAAGAGGGACTTAACAGCTCAGGGTGTGTTTTTATCCTGCTTTGGTCCACCTCTGCGTAGCATCATCAGGACAGCACACCCCAGTGAAACAAGTCTTGAGCTTAGAATGGAAAGTTCCCAGCACAGCCCTAAGCTGAGGGACTTGGACTGGATCTTACTTGTTTTACAGTTGTCACTGCAGTGCCTGGAAGCCATGCTGAAATGTTCAAGCTTTTGTTTTTTCTCCTGCCAAAGCATCTGTGGGAAAGAGGGAAAATCCAGCTCTGGACCTGAGAGATGGAGCTGAAAAGTGTAATCCTGCAAAGCTGGGAGGAAACCTCCATCCCTTCCTGAAAATCACTGTTGTCTCCCTGCAACTGAAGAGCCTGAATTATATATGTGGAAGCTACAGAGTTTGTTTCACCCAACCTTCTAACAAGTCATCACAACCAGGCTTCTCCACCAAGATGATGTATAACGCCCTGTTTGACAAGAGGGTGATGCCAGGCATGGCCCTGAAACAAGTATCTTGGTACAGTCACAGGTAACTCAGCCCAGGAGAACTTCAGCTCCACCTTCCCCTTGACATGGTGTCAGGAACTGCTGTGGTACCACAAGAAAATCTTCAACTTTCCATCCCAAACTAAAAACTGCAGGTGATGAGGGAGTCTGCCCATCTGAATAAGGCACAGGAATGGCTGACGTGTCACTTCAGCTCTGGTAATGCTCCAGCACCTACAGCTGATCACTGTCAACAGCAACTGCTAGTGCTTAACAATAATATTTTAATTATTTTCATAGCTATTGAAGTTTCCAGACCCCTTTGAGAATGAAAAACCCCAGCGCGCTCACTGAGACTCGCTAGCAAGAGATATTGCAAAATAAACATTTCACAGGAGTATTTAGAAATTGGCTGCAACAGCCTGGGTCACCAAAACACTGAGGCCAAGACTCTTCCTGGAGAGAGCTCAGGAAACGCGGGGCGAGGGCTCCCCGGGCAGCGCCAGCTCTGCCCCCGCCCCGCTGTGCCTTACGGGGCGGCTGTTGGGGCACGGTCAGACCCTCAGCCCCTCCCCAGCTCCTGCTCAGCCCAGCGCGTCGCCGACGTGCCGACACCTTCCCTCGGCAGCCAGGTCCTCGCAGCAGATGTCTGCAGAGGCGCTGGCCTCTCGCCAGTTATCTTTACTTCATGGTGCAGGAGGGAATAGGCTTCCCAGAACTGATTAGTAACTAGGGGAATTTGGGATTGCTAGGAAAGCTGACAGACCTGGAGAACAGCATCCTATCCCCGGTGTCCCCTCACACGCATGCTGCCCTCGCTCAGGGACACCCCGCAGGTAGCAGCTTGGACCCCCAGCTGAGGGACATGGGGGGAGATGGCCAGTGAATTTCACACGTGGCAAGAGCTTCTGGTCAGCACAGGCTCGAGCGTGGACTGAACATTTAATTAGAAGTGAGTGGGGTTACTCGTGGTTTCCTCTGCATCCCAACATCGGTGCCTTTAGGGCTTCTCGTGTTCGGTCTCTCCAGCCTGAGGTCCCGCGGCACATGTGAAACCAGCAAAGCTGCTTCACAAGCAGAGAGGTCTGGGTGAGGTCAGATTCTCAGGCAGCTTTTTTTTGGGGGG